GGGGGGTCGGGTCTTCTCAAACCATTCGTCAACTTCTGTTGAAGATGAACACATGTGGGTGGGAGTCACAAATGTCCCGCCAGTTCAGATGGGTACCTCAGTAGGACGGGACCAGCCAGCTGCTTACAGGGGGAGAAACCAACCATTCCCCAACTTTGGGCAAGGGGTCAGAAGGCTTCTGTGGCATTCCAGTGAGAGCACAGGCTCCAGTTGCAGTTTACTGTGTATACCACAAACCCCAGACTACAGTGGGGTTCTAAACAGGGCTATGTTTAGAGATTGCAACAAGAACTCTAGCTTTTCGGTGCAGGAGCCCAGGGTGTAGATTAAGATTGGATGGAAAACCAAGGCTGCAGTTATGTGGTGAGTGGCTACTGATTAGTTTTAGATTAAAGTTCAGCTGCTCATTACCCTGGTGACTGAGGGTTCCAAAGTCAACCTGCTTATTTTGGCACAGTGATATTTTGGTTTCTGCTAAATTACCTTCACATTTTCTTCTTATTGTGGCCTTGAAAGGAGACTCTTCAAACATCTGGGATCCAATCACTAACATTTCAAAGTTACCCGGCTGCAGTTTTGAAACTCTCCTGAATTTCAAATCAAACACATAAGTCCCTCACACTCAACAATCAAAGCATTAGTTTCAAGTGGACACTGCCAAACAGAACCAGAAACCCAGTGTGACAGGCTTATTCACAGCATGAGGCTCATTCACCTTTTCCCTATTTATATCTTCCTTTCTCAAACTGTGATGGGAATGTTGTCATATGTCACAGAGTTACCTTACCTTACAGGAGCACTGTGTACAAGCATCGACTTTCCAACTTTCATTGTGAGTTCGTCCATCTGCACAGCCTGCCAAGCAAATCCACAAACCAGGTTATACAACTGCAGGACATGGGCATAGTGGGCAACAGTGAGAGGCATACACAGAATGGAGGGGCTGCTCTCTGAGCAAAGGCTGGCACTCTACTCGCTGGAGTTTAGAGGAAGGAGAGGTGATCTTGTTGCAGCATATAGGATGAGACTGTGGACTAGCTTGCTGGGCAGTGTGTTTGGGTGCAGATGTTTCGTCACCCTGCTAGGTAGCATGATCAGTTCACGGGGGCACACTGACGATGTTACCGAGCAGGGTGACGAAACGTTTGCAATGAAACACACCGGCTCGGCGAGCAAGTCTACAACCTCATCCACAACCCGAGCTACAAATCTTCTCAAAAACTTTAAACATATGAGATTTTTAAGGAGCTTGACAGGGTAAATGCCGAGAGGATGCCTCCCCTCATTGGACAGTCTAGGTCCAGACAGCATAGTCTCAGAATAAAAGGGTGCCAATTTAAGACTGAGGAGGAATTTCTTCTCTCAGAGGGTTGACAGTCTTTGGAAATCTTTGCCACGAACGGCTGTGGGGGCAGAATTCTTCTGTATATTTAAGGCTGAGGTAGATAGATTCTTGATTAGTAGGGGAATGAAGGGTCATGGGGAACTATAGGATCATGGATGTGAGGAATAGATGGCGTGGTGGCTCAGTGGTTAGCACTGCTGCCTCACAGCACCGGGGGCCCAGGTTCGATTCCAGCCTTGGGTGACTGTGCTGCACATTCTCCCCGTGTCTGTGCGGGTTTCCTCTGGATGCTCCAGTTTCCTCCCACAGTCTGAATATGTGCAGGCTAGGTGGATTGGCCATGCTAAATTGCCCGTAGCGTCCAGGGATGTGCAGGCTAGGTCGGTTAGCCATGGTTAATGCAGGGGGTTATGGGGATAAGGTGTGGGGCTGGGTCTGGCTGGGATGCTTCTTGGAGGGTTGGCCCGATGAGCTGAATGGCTCATTCAGGGTGGCTATGATCAAATTGAATTCTAGAACAGGCTCAAGGGATGCACGCAAATCAACTAAAAGGATAAGCATTTCAGCTCTGAATAACTCAGGTCACTGAAAAATGCTGTTTAAGTAGCTTTCTCATGATCTAAAATAAACCTACTAGGTAACCACTGCATAGGACATTTTACTAGGTTAAACATGCTATATAAATACTAAGATGGTTTATCCCAATATAATTATAAAATAAAACTGTCATCAAAACAAAGAAAGGCAGCATTTGGATCTGTGTCCAAATGCACCCCTCCCCACATTCCCCATTTCCCACCAGCCCCCCCC